AAGGATTGGTCAGTTTTCAGTTTCGTAGAAAGAAAGAGGTCCATCAATGCGAAAAGCTTTCTCCACACCCGCCTGTGCCACCAGTCAGGTAATGATATCTATAATATTGTTCGCGCTGTCTGTATATACGCTACGGGTATGTATAATCCCAATCATCTGGAGTGTGAGCCCATTTGCTGAAAGCAACCCAGATCCCAAGGCAACGCCATATTCAAGAGCCCTGTAATCCCCCCCTTTTCATGAATTCACCCTGGCAACCAACAAGGCGATGATGGATAGCTGAGGTCAAACTCCGATTAGACCTCCGGAGTCGCCCTACCCAGCCTGGGCGAAGGCGCCCCCAACGGCGTCAAGCCCCTTGCGATTGTCGTTGCCGGCGCGCTGGCGGGTGAATCTCTCCTCGACGCCCCCGCCTTCACAGCGACGAGCATGTCCCTCGCCTCAAGCACCCTCCTCTCGAAAATCATGGTCCTCTCCCTCTCACGGTCGATTCTCGCCTTGCGCTCGGCAAAGTCGCGGTCCGCGTCGCCCAGGCGACGCTGGCGCTCTGCGTCCGTCCTCGCGCGCCGTTCTGCCTTGCTCGACGCCTCTTCAAGGCGGCGGGCCGTAGAGGATGAGATGATGCGCGGCGGGCCGGGGGTCGTGCGCGGCTGTGACGAAGCGCTCCAGAAGCAGCGGAAGATCAGCTTTGTCTTCTCAGGATTGTCCATTGTGCCCCAGACAACAATCTCGTCACCGTCGTGTAGTTGAATCCAGTGCAGCGAAGATGATCCTGGTCGCGGTGACGGGAGGTGACAGCCGTTGACGTGGATGCCGATGGTCGCTTTCGTCGAAAGGTAAAATCCATACTTGGTAGGGTCCACGTCTTGTCTGTCCCAGGGATGTACAGTCTTGCTGGCCTGCCGTTTGGTTGGCTCAAGCTCTTCTGTCCACAGCAGTATCTTGACGGCATATTTCGGAACCCGAAGTTCGGTCTTTGGCGTATACACGGCTGTATTTTCAGGCCCCCTGCCCCAGGACACAAATGTGTTTCGTACGGGAACAGAGATGCCAGACACCACAGAGCCAGGCGAGGATTCTAGCACCGCCAACGCACGCTTGGGCACCTCGTCATCGACGATGGGCACAATTCGTTGGGTCTCGGGAGGTAGCGTGTCTGGCAGATCATCCTCTTCCGGTGGCGGCGCTGTCGGCGGCGGAGCGCTCGCTTCTCTGAGTTCCGCCATGGTCCTCACATCGCGTTGCAGGGTGCGCGGCCTGTCGTCAGGGCTCAGAAGTACTGGCTGCTCTGTGTCCCCGAGACCACCCTGATGAGGAGGGAAGTATTTCATGGCCAGATCCCAGAGACCTGATTTGCCTGGCGCAAACACCTCCTTGCGACTCTCGGCCGCTTGCGTGAATACTTGTCGCTGTAACTCGGTCATTTCTGGGTAGTCGAGATGCCAAGTTCCCATGTTCTGTCCCTCCCAGAAAAATGTTTTGTCCTGGGGACCATCAATCTGTCGGCCAGACTTCAGCCTCTCGACGAGCGGTACAGAAGCCAGAAGCGTAAACTCCTCCATGGCCTGATCGGCAAGGGCCTCGATATTGCCCTCTGACCGAAGTCGCTTAACGACCGGTTTCCCCGGCCTTGACTCCTCAAACTCGTCACTCGTATCGTATGCGGGTTTGCGCTTGCTCGCGGTCCAATAGCTGCCGTTGACACCTGAATCGTTCACAGTCTTCATGGTCGTGTCGAGAATGACTGATTCAGACGCCCCTAGGCTTTGTGACCGAACGTTTTCCACCAGACTGGCTAGCTGGTCGTTAGACTGGCCGTTTGCCCTTGACAGAGAAAGGCGGGCGCCGTTGTTGGAACGCCCGCCGATTGTCGAAGCTTCATGAGACCCTAGGCTATCCAAAATCTCCGTCTCCATGCTGTCTTCGGGCACATTGTGAGAGGAGCCGGGGAGTGATATGTTCAGGCGACCCTCCGGTATGACCCCCGAGCTTCCAACGGCTGAGATGTTTACCTCACCAAACAGCTTTGGGCCGGCGCCCGGACGGCCAAATGTGCCATTCTCATCCTCGTTCTCTTTTTCTGAATCCTCAGCTAGAAAATCGTCTAGAACATCGTCGATTACTTCTTCGAAATGAGGCTCGTGCGGAAGACGTCTGCTCTGCCCCTCCTGAATGCTCAGCTGCGAAGCTCCAACCTGCAGTTCGCTCTCCTCGTCAT